GCAGGTCGGCTGCAGGTTCTGTTTTCCCCACTTGATGGGGACAGAGTTGAGATCACCACTCACCTGACTTTTCTCCGGCTCTTCTCCGAACAGACGGACGGCGTGARTGGTGTMGACTGAGTTAGTGTGTTGCAAACCTTCAGAGTTATTCAGTCGACTTCAGAAGAGACATTCAGGATTCAAACACTCTGTCACAAGCTCTTCAGGCCTGCGGAGAAGAAAAAAAACAAAAATTAATCACAACCTCAGAAACTAATCTGTGAAACCTTTACAATGAAAACATGCAAGTCTTATTTTTTCAGTTCAAACAGTAGAGAAGTTTTGCCTCATTGTCTCATCATCTCACACAAGATTTGAGCGAGTTAACTTGTGGTTAATAAATAGTTTTTACTGATTCTGTGCATCTCAGAAATGTCATTCCTTATTTTGACCTGCTGGGGGCGACACAGAGTCATGAAACATTTAGGTTAATGTCAACATTTATAACGATTCTCTGTGTTCGTCTGACGCACATTCAAATACTGATCTGATGACAGACACTTCCACTCAAACCCATCATGTGATTTATAATAAGTTTTATTGTAATAAGTTTCTTCTCGTGAAAAAAACATAAACTTCATTTATGCAGCACTTTTCAAAACAAAGTTACATGAACTAAGAAAAAGATCATAAGCTTTGGTTTCTATGTGAAGAAAACGAAGAGGGATTAAATCCACCACGTTCTTGTAGAAACCTTAATTCATTTAGATTTAAATATGAATTAGTTCTAATTAGTTATTCAGCTCAGTCATCAGAATGTAAAAACCTCACATTTTTAACCATATGTTGTACTTTCATTCACTAAAGGCTGTCGGTCAAAATCAGTGACTAGTGTTCATTCTTTTTTAAACACTTGTCTTTATCAAACCAAAATGTTTGTCTGACCGTGTTTGTTCTACACACAGTGACGTAACTTTAAAGGTAATGGAATGTAATTAGCTGCAGCTACATTCCATTCGTGGGAGTAATTTATCTTTTTGGGTTGGTGGGATCGTGTCACGCCATCATCACTGGTTTCTAAGGTTACTTTAGTAACAGTGGATGCTAAACATAGTCGTCTGGTCAGTCTGCGGGTGTTATTCTTAGTGTGTCTCTGAGAAGCACCATGTGTTTGGGGGATTCCCCTTCTGTTTCACACAATTAGAAAGAAACCRTGAGCCGGGCTAAAAARCCTGCGCCCTGAAATCATTAATAAATGTTGGTATCTCTGAGCAGGAAGACGCAGATTGATCTGAAGTTAAAATCCAACTGGAGACAATTTAATAAAGAGGTTGAAAACTCAGAATTCAAAGATTAGTTGTAAACYTGAATCCTGTAAATTCTGAATTCTCCGTTTGATTTCTTCTCAACTGGGTTAAAAAGTGAGCGAACACTTCAATCTCCATCAACKTTTTGTCCAGTGAACCGTGTTAATGTGTTAGCTGATTTAACTGACATCACACTTTCACGGAGTTAAATGGGACACTGTTTCCATAGAGGTCATTTTGTCAGTGATGTAAAAATATTATTCTGTGGAATTTCTAATTAAAGCAATGGTGGAGGCAGTGAGTGAGGAAAGACCTTATCTGTTTCCACAGCAACTTGGAAGGAGTCCAATGGTTGTGGCTGACTCKGCATCTTCCAGAAAGGGAAAATAGTTCTGTTGGTTTAAAAAGGGGAATYGAAAGAGAATCAATGATAAGTAACACATAAGACATCAATTGAACTCAGTGTTCAACTCTATATAACCCGTAGACTGTATATACACGTGTGACAAGACCGTCGTCTTAAAGTGAAGCCAAGACATGGACCAAAGTAAAAAGTCAGAGTTCACATTAAATACATTTTTCTGTTTTCTGGAGGTTCTTGTCGTACTGAATTTCAAGGGTTTGGTTTTAATGAGTTATTTGATGATGTAAAAATGGGGTGAAAAGTGATAATTGACAGACTGACTTGCGATTGGTTCAGCTCATGTGTTAGAGGGGCCTTGATGCCGTGGCTCKGTCCCCTGATCGCTGCTGGGCACACTCTGATATTTTGGCTTTATTCCTGAGCACTGGTAGAGGTGGAGTCGTTCCCCTCATCTTCTTTTACAATCTATGGTTAAAACTGAGAGAGCCAGAAAAAATAAAATCTGCATTTTCAATCTCTTCATAATTTGGTGCATGGCAGGATTTTAACTCCGTCCTCTTGCTGAGAGATAGACACTGTTACTAACGGTTTCAAAAATTATGGCTTGCTTTATTAATCGCTTGTTGTTTTTTTTTAATGACCTGGTGGGAGTAGCTTTGCCTCCAAGAACATTAACAAATAACCTTATCACTAAACCTCAAACCGCAGCAGTAAAAGATTAAACCCTGTCACGACATTGTAAAGAACCTGGACATATAAGGACATGACAACATATTCCATGAACTCCTGAGGGTGTGTGAGTCTGTGTCACAACAGTGGTTCCTCTTTCTCGCATGAGGCTGCTGTATATAAGATAACAGATCCTTGCTTCAGTCATTATTCCACTGAACAGTGAAGCCGTTTGCAGCTGTGATCAACTCACTGTTTGAAGATGTGGACTCTTTCTGCCGGCCGCTGGATGTTCCTGCTCACTCTGGCCCTTGTTATGATCGTCTCCTTATCACAAGGTAACGTGTGATTGAAAGTWGTTTTCTGCTTTGTGTGAAATGACTGCATATGGAATTAGTCAATGAACAGAATATTAGTTGCAAAACATTTTAGTAATTTCTTTAGCAAAAAATCCAAAAGTTTGCTGGAAGGCAAGTGTGACAATCTGCTTTTTATTCTTTGCCTGATGTGATGATAAACTGGATAAACTCCACTTTACTACATTATTATATCAGACAAAACCATTCATCAATTCATCAATCATGTCATTTCTACTATACTGACTAAAACACTAGCGATGTAAAGTACTGAATAATAACAGTACCTTTCTTTTCTTTTCTCCGTGTGTTTCAGTGGCTACAGGCTGCTGTGAMAAAGTCACCACCAACAGATACGTAGTCAAAAAGTGTTGGGAACAGAAGCGATCAGGGAACTGCAAACTGCACGCCTACCTGTGAGTACACAACAATTCTATATATTCCACTGTGGTAGTTTCACACATTCAGCACATGTCTGATGGTTTTCTGTGTTTGTTTTCTTTCTGCAGGATTGAAACCAAAATGAAAGGAACAAAGTGCATCGATCCAGAGGCCGCGTGGATTAAACACCAGATAAAAAATGTGAGAATCAGATGAAAACCTCATTAACAGTGAATGTGCAGATGAGCTTATTCAGTAAAACTATCTGGATTTAAAAATAACAAACAGATAATCAGTTTTGAACTAAACTAAACGATGTCAGGTTTCATTACAAGTTTTACGAGCCAAACATAAACTATATTAAAGATGCAGCAGCAAATCACACAATRAAATTAGCTCATCAAACAACTAGAACATGAAAATACTGCTTTTTATCTGTTTATATCAACTTCCTGTTTCCCTCTCTTCTACATTGCAGAAAAAAATAAAGTGCCCTTCAGACGTGTCGACGACTTAATGCAAGAAAGTTTCAGCGGGATGACAACAACAGAGCAACACTGTGGAGCTTATTTACTATTTATACCCTTTACTATTTAAAAAAGTATTATTTTTGTATTTAACTTTATATGGCATAAGTATTTTTAAGGCAGGAAATGTGTTGTTCTTCTTGAAGCCGGAATGAAAAATAAATCATCAACAATTATATGAATGAAAATCGACTCATTTTTTCAAAACATGCAGCGTCTGGCTTTGTCCCAGACTTTCTACAGTGAGGAGCTGATTCACTGCACGGATCTGGGATTTCTCTACCATGTCAGTTTGAGTACGTTCAAGTTTGAAAGAGATAAAAACAAACGAGAGCCCTGATAAACCTGAACCTGAGGGTGAAACACAGCATCTGACACTTACAGTACATCGGTTTGTATGAGTTAGAGCCATATGCAGGTTTCTGGTGTTTTTAAATCTTAAGAGATTCAGCAGATTCATTGTTTAGTCGATCATCAAGTGTAATATCAATAAATTCTCATCCTGTTCAAAAGGATGAATTAAAGAAG